CTCTTTCTCCCACCTCTTTTTTCTTGCTCCACTCTCTCATTTCCCCTTCCATCTCTCAGGACTTTTTTTTCCTCATCCCAACTCCACCTCTTCCCCTCTATCCAAATATTTCCGTACTTTACCCAATCTCTCCTTCTATTCCTTCTCTCCTTCTCAGCTATCCTCTCCAGGTTCCATTGCATTTTTCTTTGATGCTTTCCTTCAAGGTCATGTCATTCTTTATTCTTTCCATCCTCCCTTTCAACACATTCTTCTTCTGCATTACCTCTCTTTTTCTTACTCTATCTTTTAACCTAACTAAAACCATCTTCTCTTTCCCCATCTTTTTTCCTATCTCTTTTACCTAATTTATTACTCCCTCCTCCCCCATCTCTAGCCATAGCTTTTCTACCGCTTTCTTTCGCTTTCCTTCCTCTACCACCACCCCTTTCACTGCTACATTGTTCCTTTTTCTGTCTCTCTCTTCTACCTCTCTCCACCTTTCTAGCTTTCTTACCTTCGCTTCCATTGCTTTATCTCTTTTTCCTATCTCCCACTTTCCTTCCTCTTTTACTTCTCCCTTCTCTTCCTTCCTCCCATCTCTCCATCTCTTAACTAATATATTTAAATTTATATATTAGTTAACTTCTTTATATACACTACCGTTCATTAATTTCAATATATTCTTATATTTGTTAATTTCTCTGTGAAGGATGAACATGATACATATGTTTTGTACAGAAATGAATACATTTGCTGTTATAAACACTTGCATGCATTGCATTTTTATATATTATTTATATACAAATGCGATGCATGCAAGTGAAATGTTTATAACAGCAAGTACATTCATTTCTATGCAAAACACGTATCATGATGTTCATCCTTTACAGAGAATCAACGAATCTGTTGTATATTGAAATTAATGAGCAGTAGTACATGTAAAGAAGTTAACTAATTTATAAATTTAAATATATTTGCAATATAATAAATATCTTTATAATATATTATTATACCTTCTCTATATTAAGCTTCCTTCGCCAGTAAATAAATACAAAACAAAAGTCGTTTTTGTTCGACCCGACTGGCCAAATAATAAATATATTTAAATTTCACAACGTTTCAACCGCATTTTCGGTCTTTCTCAAGTGATTCATCAAGCTATGCATCCTCAAAAACCGCGTACAAAATATCGATTACGTCGCTGACATCGTGCCCTAACCACATCATGCACACGTAAAGCTAAAAAAGTGAAATAAACTCACGATAGTCAAAAAGATAAAAACGCTCAGAAGTCATAAAATAAAAAGTAAGAATACAATTAAATTAAATAGTAGAGTTAAAAATAGTTAAGTTATAAATAGTTAAGTTATAAATAATGTACAAAGTAAAAAGTAAGGCTTACATATTCTGTGCGTCAAAACGGAAAGTGAGAACGGTAGCGCAGAACGAAGAAACATCGCAAGCCATAGCTGCGAACACATCAGTACAGCGTGACAGACGAAGTCATACTAAATGACTGATACATAACAAATAAATAGATGTGTTCACAGGTGGAAACGAGCAGAACAAAAGTGTAAATTAAGTGACGCCAATCAAACGGTTGTAATTCGCGGGCAGACTTTCTGTGTCCTTTTGAAGATTGATTGCGCTATCACATTTTTTATTAAAAAACATCTCAGAGATTTCACGTTTCTTAAAGTGTCGCTCCTTATATAAAATTTTTGGTTGTTGCCAATTGAAATCGTGGTTATGCGTGAGACGGTGCTTACTAACTACAGAATGATTATCGCTGTTCTTCCTAATATCACAAAAATGTTCCTTAACCCGTGTCTCTAGGTGCCTTTTTGTTTGACCAATATATGCAGCGTTGCAATTAGCACAATCAATCTCATATATCAACTCCGTTTGCTTAAGATTCGGTAGCGTATCCTTCCCCCTTTTTATAATGCAATCCAACCTTTTCGGAATGGTGAGGAGAACCCTGAATTCCGCATCGCGCATTGTACGGCCAACACCGTCACTAAGGCCCTTAATATACGGTATAGTAATAAACTTTCGAGGATCCTGGGCTACATTGTTACTGCTAGATCTATTATTATTATTATGACGTGTCTGTAGCTCGTTAAGTCTGATGTTAATGTACTTGTTAATTAATTTTATTGGATAACAATTATTAGAAAGAATCTTTTTTATTTCGATTAAATTAGACTTATGAAAACGTACGTCAGATAAAAGAATAGCTCGGTCAACAAGATTACGTATAGTATTAATTTTGTATTTGAGAGGGTGATTCGAAAAATAGTTTATGTATCGCCCCGAAAAGGTCGGCTTTCGGTACCAATTCGTAAGCAACACAGTCCCCTCTCGAATCACTATTGTGTCAAGAAAACTAAGAGAATTATTCTTTTCTATTTCAAATGTAAATTTTAATCTGGTGTGATAACTATTGAAAACTCTAAGTAACTCGTCAATACCAGATCTAGGAACAATCGCGAAAATGTCATCAAATAATAGACAACTATTTATAACTTAACTATTTTTAACTCTACTATTTAATTTAATTGTATTCTTACTTTTTATTTTATGACTTCTGAGCGTTTTTATCTTTTTGACTATCGTGAGTTTATTTCACTTTTTTAGCTTTACGTGTGCATGATGTGGTTAGGGCACGATGTCAGCAACGTAATCGATATTTTGTACGCGGTTTTTGAGGATGCATAGCTTGATGAATCACTTGAGAAGGACCGAAAATGCGGTTGAAACGTTGTGAAATTTAAATATATTTATTATTTGGCCAGTCGGGTCGAACAAAAACGACTTTTCTTCTTTATATTGTTCTCTTCTCCTTCTTTCTCTTCTTTTTCTATCTCTATATCTCTCTTTTGTCTTAAAATACTTTTTCTTTTTTATAAACCGCTTAAGGTATCGATACGATAAATAATACTCTAAAAGCTACATTTGGATGGAACGGTAATAAATTTACACATCCTACATCTATTATTATGTTAAAATCATAATAGCGTAATGAAAACGATTCATAGGAATAAATGTGATAGTATTTATGAAATAAAATTAAGTATGAAATATAAATTTAAGAAATATTACTTTAATGATTATATTATCTTACGCATTATTAACATTCCATACAGGCAAAGCAAATAGATACTATGATATACAGGATACCTTTAAACAATTGTTTCATTTTCTAACATTTTTCAGATTTATTGTAATATAATCGTATAATCGCCATATTTTTTTACACAGGAATACTAACGCAAAATTATTCGGACATTGTCACTACTAAAATTAAAAAATCAGATAAAGGGTTAAATAATGTACATCTTTTTAATTCACATATCTCTATTTACTACCGATCATCATTTCATAATGATGCATTTGCAACGAAATAGATACGTCAGCAACATTCGAGACCATCGACTGGAAAAAACATTTCTCTTGGTCTATTCGTTGTGACGGATAAAATCGTATAATTTCAGCACTCAGCAGTGGATTCACTTCAATTGATGCGATTTTAAGACAGAGTTCAATTTAAAGAATCCTCGTTGTTACTAAATATGCATACAAGGCCTGTGAATAGCGCTAATTTCCCTGCCATACGCATATCTTTCTTTTTCATGGCTGTATCCTGATTAGGCATCATCTTGTCCGCAATATGCTTATAGACTTTTCCATTCAGCATTAACGTAAAAAATAAAAAAGCCGTCGTACCATCTGAAATCGTTATATATAATTGTCTTGGTATTATAATCAATTTTATAATAAGCGTTTCCTCTCCGATAGCATAAACAAAATTAATTTTAGGAAATCTAAATTATTTTATCTTTTTCTGAAGGTAGAATACAAAACAAAACTAAAAATCAAGTTCTTTTCAAATAATAGACAACTTGAATTAATTATATAATTAATGTTTATAAGAACAATTTTAAATATATTTTTAAAAGGAATGTTTAGAGCACTGATTAACACTTACATTTCCTGGTTAGCGCTTATTATGGCATGTTGTATTTTCCAAATTTTACTTCCAAAACATATAAAATACCTTCCAGCCTGTGACACCACGTATACGCCAACAAACCTGCACGGTATCGTTTTCAGAATGCATTGTGATCTTTAGGATGTCAAGCTTGACGTGTGCACACTTCATATGACCAATGAACCTTAACAGTATCAATTGCTTCGCATAACTCACAAATCAGCTGCAATATTTTTTAAGCATATTATGAGAAAATGGAAATACTTAATGCTAAAAACTCTCAATTGCTTTGAATACTTAATCAAATTAATTTTCGTTACTTCTCTAATATTGTTGATAAAAATTATATCATAATAATGGATAATAGGGACTCAATTCACAAATATTTTAGCATAACTTGCCTACAATACAAATTGCGCTACAGAACACTTTCTCGTTTTTTTCAACTTTTAAAATTTACAAGAAAGCATATACGTACATACATTTGCAATTTCGGATACACCTTCCTTCTTAACGATCTCTTCGGTATCAGCTCCCTGCGGTAAATATATAGCAGCAAAATTGTATACCACATAGTTGAATATAAAATGTTCCTGCGTGAGAAAACGAGAGAAAAGGAGGACATTTATAGTAGGTAATGACACTCGATACGAACCACGCAATAGTGTAAATTCGAGATTGGGGGAAGAAAGAAGGGGTAAAGGAGAAGAGATTCTTACAATTAGAGGCACTCTGTAGCAACTCGTATTATCTAGCACAATAGGACCTCTTGTGCTAGACAATTATGTCTCAACAGTGTTTGACAATAAGAATTATTATATTTTGAAGACGCGAGATTGTACATTCAAAGCATCTAAGTTAACGAAAGTAAAGTACAATATAAACATACTTCGGAGAAATCTTTATTACGCGATAGTGCCTGTCACAACGTGCATATAGATACCAGATCACTTTCTGGTTCTCTTAACTTTTACAACTTTCTCAAGACAGCATATATACGTACGTGTGCGATTTTGGATACTCCTTCCTTCTTAAAGATCTCCTCGGCATCAGCTCCCTGCCGTCAATATATATTTCACTATCACTATCTATCACGCGGCGATGGTCACGACTGTCACTATCTATCGATTTCTAGGTTATCGCTGTATTCCAACATAGATCGGTCTTTCTTAACAGCTTCATGCGTCTGTAATTGAGAAAGAAATCTGATAAGCTTTGTATAACAGTTCAACATAATACGAATATGTATATACATTTCAGATAAAAACGGTCGGTAAACTTTTATAAAACAATACTGTTTAAAATAATACAAGCGATAATAATTGTTATAATTACCTCTCTATATTATATCTTAAATGTGCATGAATTATTTGTAATGTCAACTCTTCACGCTTGTTGAATATTCATATATTAACTGTCACATTAATGTATTAACCTCGCGACACGACGCGAGCTGTCAAGTCACGACACACACGCACGAAACTCGCGGAACTCGCCGCGATCTCGCGTTCACCCGGCTTCGACCGGCCAATCAGACGCGCGGAAAAGCGACAACACTACGTGCGAGATATTCGACTCCAAACAACAACTTCTCGCGTCTCCATGGATTTTTTTATTATAGATTAATGACAAAAGACATCTCTTGCGAAATTTCGAAACCTCATTGAAACTATAATATGTATGTACACGCCACTCTTTATATCACAGTTGACTGAAATAAAACAAAAGATCGTTCAAAGCAGCGTTGTTCAACAGCTTCCACTGCTCACTGACAGAATGTAACACGTAACAGCCAATATTGTAGAGCGCAGAATTAGAAACAAGGGCGATATTATAGACACAGTTTCCCTAATGATTAAGTGGTCTGTAATAATTATTATATTACATATTTATTACATTATGTATTATATATTTATTTTATTAGAATTTATTACAAAATTTAATTTGTGTTCTTTTGAAAACAGTGTAATACAGATGTATGTAACATGTTCTAAACTTTTACTCATAATAATATACAGGGTGTCACTTAATTCGTGCTTACTATTTACACAGCAATATTCCTTGTGAAAAATTGAGTAAAAAATTCTTGATCAATTTTTTTTTATAATGTTTAATAAAGTAGCAATTATTGAGTAAAGTCAATGCAAGTATAGTTATCGTTAAGACGGAAATAAGGATGGGAAGTCTCGATTTTTTATCGACTTCCGACGAGTCAATGAAGTCACAGAAATAGACGCGTATTCCTCGTTACGGATCTTTGCAACACTCAATAAGTAGCGGGGAACTTGGTATCTTTCAATGCTAAACTTGAAAAACAGATATTGGCAAGTGCCTTTATCTTCGTAAAGCAGAAAGATTACCGTGTTTATCATGCGAGCAAAAGCCTGATGCAATTCACGGTCATGCCGTTTCGGACTGCACTTCGCCCCCGCAATGTTTCAACGCCTATTGGACACCGTACTCGGACCAGAGCTGGAACTCAACGTATTTGTCTGCCTAGATATCATCGTTAGACGAATCTTCGACGAATACATCTGCGTATTACAAGAAATATTCCATTGTCTCCGAAAAGCGCGCCACCGACTCAATCTCGACAAGTGCCGCTTCTGTGTCAATCGCATTAACTATCTCGGACACCTCATTTACTGCGAGGGAGAACATCTGGATCGACTTGAGAAGATCAGTGCCATCACCAACTGTCCCGTCCCACAGAAGTGACGGCAAAACATACGACAGTTCCTGCGAGTGACTTCTTGGTATTGCCGATTTACCGAAAGATTCGCCATCATCTCCGTCCCGCTGATCGCACTTACACGTAAACAGGCCAATTGAACCTAGGAAATCGTCGAAAAGATCGCGTTCGATCAACTAAACCCTGTGATCACCGGTGCTAATATGTCCCGACTTCACGCGGCAGTTCGTTCATATACAGACAGATATCCAACAGGATTGGTGGCCATCTTGACACAATACATCCCGGAAGGAGAGCGGATGATCGCATACGCAAGTCGCACCCTCAATAAGGCCGAACGTAATTATCTGGACTGGAGTATCTGGCCGTCGTCTGGGGCACAAAGTGGATGCGTGGCTACCTACTAGAGAGATACTGAAAGATACTGAAGTTCAGGGGTGCTTCCTCGCTCGGAGAGGGGGAGGGCAATTGCGTCGCTTCGGCGGAGTTGGTAACGAACATTTAAGATTATTTTAAGAGGATTGCCGGTTTGGTGACCGAACCACATTGTAACGACCTTGAGTCGCCACGAGGAAAGAGACGGAGAACGCACTCAAGGAGACGGCTGAGGGACATGGCCGTCGGTCGGGTCACGCACGGACTTCCTCGCAAGAGCAATATCGGAGCCCACCGTACGATAGACGACCCTGAATTCGGCCGCCGCAGAGGAAACCTAGAAACTCTGGGGGACACCCTGACAAAGTGAAACAGGGTGCGACATCACGGCCCAGGGAACGTGCACGACCCTCTGGCCGCCACCCCGAGGGGCCACCGGTAGAAGTGATGACCATCTGTCGTGCCGGACCGAGCGAGGCAAACACCTTTGAGCTGCTGATCCGGACATCCTGCGGACGACATTGCATCAATTCTTGTAAGGTCACCACTTTGGCGTCCCCGCGTAAATGAGGGTTTGTTCGAGGCGATGGCCCCAATCGCGTTGTAGGGTACCTGGGATTATCTATTATACCTGTTATCTGGAGAATAACCCCACTGGTACCTTGCGCTCTCCCTTGTCGAAGAAATGTAAATTGGAGCTCACGAAAGGGCCCCGCCGAGAACGAATCCTCCTGTAAGTATAGAGATCACGTACGCCCTCCCCGGGAACACCGTCGCGGCCGACAGTCACATTGCATTATTCGGTATTCTGTGGTAAATGTAGCATTGTATGATATTCGGAGTAAATGTTAGAGTCGCGATCGCGCAATTCGTGGTGCGAATTCGAGCGGTCACGCGGTAATTTATGTTAGTGAGATTGCGTTTCGCGAGTGGCAATGTATTATGTCGGATGGCACTCGGTTTCGTGATTAGTCCGTTGGTGTGAATGTATTGTGTCTTGCGTTGGTAAGACCGTAGAGTCGTCGGGATTGGCGCGGTGCCGTGGAATCACCGGGTTTCGCGGGAAATCTCGGGATTCGCGTGGCAAGCCGCGGAATCGTCCGCGATTCGGATCATCTTGCGTTTGGGGAAATCCGAGACGAGGACGATCGTCTGCCGGTGGGTCGGCATGGCGAGATCGTCCGCCAAAAGTTAGATATCGTTTGCGAAAATGATCGTCTGTCGGCAGGGTCGGCACGGCGAGATCGTCCGTAGTTAAATTTGGTTGCGATTTGATTATTCGCGAGTATCGTTGCGTTGTTGCGTTGGGTGGGTTGCGTGTGCGTCGTGTGATAGATTCGTGAGTATGCGTGAGTATAATTGCGTGGTATGCTCGTTGTGTTATTCATTATAAGTGCGTAGGCTCGTTGCGTGTTATTCGGTATTTTGAGTCTTTTGTGATTTGTGTTCGCGCGGAAGGCGGTTCGCCGCTCTTGTATTCGTGTTTTCATATTTTTTCTTATATATTTTCTAATATCTATGATAGTTTCAAATATATTTTCTTTATTTTGTATAGATATATACTTCTATACTACATATTATTATAAAGAGACAGAGTTTGTAACCTTTTTTTTGTCCGCTATGATCTCGGAAACCAATGGTCCGAATTTTCACCAGATGTATATGAAATAGGGGTAGAATTTCCCGGGGAGTGCTATAGGGTTTATAGTTTTTCGTTACCGATTTTCTGGAAACCGGTTTTTTTAATTTTTCGGTAAATATTGACCGAATTTTAAAGAATTGTATATGAAACGGGTAGAATTTTTCTGGCGAGTGCCATAAAATGTATAATTTTTTGTTACCAATCTTTTTGGAAGCCGGTATCAAAAGTTTTTCGAATTTTTTAGGAAATTTCCGGGAAGTGCCATAAAGTGTATAGTTTTTCGTTACCGATCTTTTTGGGAACCGGTATCTTATTGGAAATCTGTTACGACCAATTCCGTACAATGAGCATGTTGTGTCGCACCCTGTTAAAGCGTGAATTGCGGGTAAAGCTGGCAAAAAGAAAGCATTAAAAATTGCAATGAATTTCCCAGTTTCCGATTTAGAGATCTTAAGTAATCTCGGAGAAACTATAACTCAAGATATTATTATTGCCTGCACAAAATTTATTTCTCGACTTTACGATACAAAAAGAAAGCACGTTGACAAACACAGCGATATAAATGAAATGCGCGTTACATTGGCAAAATTAAAACAACTATCTCTACAAAAACTGCCACCTGCATTTCCTACTTTTCTTCAACATTTAAGGTTGTATGACCCGTAAGATCTCTGCCAAAAGTTTAAGAAACGTAACATAAAGCTAATTAACATATTTAAGAAGATATTCTTTACTGGAAAGTAATATTTATATTAATATTTTATTAAAATAACGGTTGCCTGTGTTTTTAAGAGCTATAGAGACATTTTTAGGCATATTTTCTCGTATGCAAACTTTCACTTTTAATGATTTTTAGAAAGACTGTACCTGACTTGCAACTGACACAAACGAAAATCTGAAAGTGTGAAAATCTTTAAAAAGTAACAAAACATAGTAATTACTATTTAAAAATACTAATGAAATTATATTACGTTATTTATTTACGTCATTTATTAATAAATTAAATACAATAGCTCTCATAAAAAAGTATTTTGATCGCGACAACGTCGCATTTTCTGTAAGTTGGTAGCATTGATCTCACTCGACATCAGCTGCGTGAACGCAAAGTGTGTGCTCTGAGCACGTGTAATATACAGATGCAACGTTTGAGGTTAGTTTTCGCTTGCGCTACGAAAATGCCAAAAGTAAAACGTTACATGTGCCATGGAATTGTTACAATCATCTGGTGTGGTTTCGACTCGTGTCTTCAAATTACGTTTCCGAGTATTTGTCTGTGCTAACCGTTGATTGTACACTTTTTTAGTGACAACTTTTCCTTTCCACATGTAACGTTTTACTTTCGGCATTTTCGTAGCGCAAGCGAAAACTAACCTCAAACGATGCGTCTGTATATTACACGTGCTCAGAGCACATGGAGCACACTTTCGATACACAAGAGGCTCTATTGGAAAAAGTAACGAACCTCTGTAGTATTTGTTATCCTTTACGGAGAGTGACGGAGAGAGGAGGTTCTAATGTGACGTCATAGTGCGCTGTTGCCGGATCTCTGTACTTACGAGTTCAGTGAGACCAAGCGAGACTGTTCTCTGTTCGGTTTTTATTCAATATTTCAGAAAATATCCTCGAAGTCATAATTTTTTTGGTTCTAATTTGTTTGTAAGATGTTTATTAATATTTCTGCAAAGTTTTAAAAAGATGCCATATTTTCTTCGATATTAATTTCTCAAATGAAGTTGAAAAAACAGTGAAACTTGATGAATTCCCATAAGAGCCCATGTTAAATTCAAATTGTTATAACTTTTGAACGGGCCTCGCAAACTTGTTCAAACTTGGCACAATGCTTTATTATTATAATACTCATCACCTGACAAAGTTTAAAGAATTTGGCATTTTTTCTTCTAAGGGGTCATACAACCTTAAAAAGATGTACCTACGTGGCAAGTATATGTGTGGAAAAATGCTCATTTCCCAGTCATTGAAATTCTTGATCCAAAAGAATACGGATGGCAATTAATTAATGGACAACTGATTCCCGTTTATTTTAAAGGTCCTACAAGTTTTCAATTACTACAAAAATATATATGTAACTGTAGTTCAAATAGTTTTTCTTGCAAAACATCTATTTCATGTCCTTGCCGTGCTGCTGATTTGTCCTGCAGTAAAATTTGCAAATGTACTGGAAAATGTGGCAATAATTTAAATAACGAGAGTGAGGATGATGAATAAGTTTCTTCGCGTTAATATATTATATTAAAACATAAAAATTAAAAAAACTTCAAAAATAAAAAAAAAAGTAAATAAAAAAAGTAAATAAAAAATGCACTTTTAAAGTCCAACTCTTATCCTTCCCGTGGTATTGTGCGTAAGTAGATTTATGATTAAAACTAAAAAAGCTCTGGCAATAATTATAAAGTAATAATAATGATAGTAATAATAATAATAATAATAGTGGGACACCATACGACGACCGGCTTGTCCTAATAATAAGAATAACAATAATGGTTAGTTCATAATCATTTTACTACTTGAAACCAAATATATTCAAAGTTTTAGGTATAATATGATTATGGATCGCATAGTACGCAACAACCTCGTGCGTAATTAAAATTTCTTCACGTACGTTTGGGCAGCATTGTATCTACCATTATAGGTGTTTCTTATGTAAAAAAGTACGCTCTACAACTTTCATTTGAACATTTTTGTCGAAAAGTTAACCACAAAAAAGTTATGGCGTGTTTTATTAGAGAAAATATAAAAAAAATATCGAAAAATTTGACTTTTCGCCAAATTTCACTGTATTAATGATATATTTGACTATTTTATAATGCATATTCTTAAAGTTTACACTTTTCTAAATAAAATTCGATACTAATAATTTCAATTTTATCAAGCCAAAGATGTAAAAAAAAAATCGAGAAGAATCTTATGTTCAAGACGCCATTTTGTATTGTTCCGATGCGCGAACTTTAGCGAACTTTCGTTTATTTACTTGTCACACGATGTACTTTCGATATTTCATAGTTAGAGCTGGTTATCTCGTCGTTTCCGGTTCGGTAACAAATTTCAGGGTGAGTTGCAGGCCTATAAGTCGCGACGCCACTCGACCCGGGACCGATCCGTATCGTGTCCGTCCGCCGCGCCGTCGCGTTCTGAAAAGAGAAGGAAAACATCATCAATATGGCGGAAAAGGCGCTTATTCGTTTCCCGCGCGCACAACTCTCGCCGCTCGCGCCAAGAGCGTCGCGCTCTCAACTTTTCGCAATCATGAATTTTCCGACTTCGAAAATCAAATACTAATTTTAATAGATATATTCACGATATTCGCGACATTAGAAAATACAATCGTCACTTGCCCGCGCGACGAGCCTCTTCGACCGAACACGAATCGCGAAATATGTATTTTTACAAATTCACTATACCCGAGCGCTGAACCAATTCTACGCGATAGATACCGCAATAAATATAATTAATGCATGCAAGATTAATGAAAGTTACTCTTACCTTAATTAAATGAATCGCGACACGCCACTCGTCCCGGAACCGATCCGTACCGTCCGCGGCGTCCGCCAGTCCGCCGTGTTCTGGAAATGATTGAAATGTTTGAAATGAACGCAGGAGAACGTCATATATATAGCGGAGGCACTTCGAATCGTTTCCCGCGCGAACAACTTTACGTTCGATAAGAGCTAGCATCACGTTCGGCATCACTACGCGTTCCATTCTTATATTCGCGTTCATGCATTTTTCTTATTCTAGCAATAAATGCTATACTTTTATACCCTTGCCTTATGTAACGATTGCTCTTTTGCATTAGGCCGGTTCTACAATCAGTTTTATATATATCGGAACCGAGATGGTCCAATGAGGATAATTCGTTTTCGAAAAAGAAATTCTCTCATTGGACCATCGCGCATCG